AATCCTCATAATTTTTTTCATGAGAAGTTTCAAAATTTTCCAACTTTTCTTGAAGTATTTCAATTTTTTCGAAAATTTTCTGGAGGCATTTCCTAATAATTTTCCGCAAAAATTTCGGACTTTGAAGAATCCCTAGCGTAAACACACCTGCCTCCTTCTGCTTGTTGCAGTTCCTGGCGTGCGCCGCGGTGCAGACCATGGCGGTGCTGGGCGGGCTCGCCATCGCGCACAGCTCCAGCCTGCTGCCCGCCCTGTCCGGCCCGGACAGCGAGGTGCCCATCACGCCGCAGCAAGGAGCCTGGATCGGTACTTCACCGTGAGGGTAACTGTAACCCGATGGGGGAGCCGACTCTGAGATCAAGTGCAAACGGAGGACCATCCCCGGATTACCCGAAATACGCCCAGATTGCGCCTGGACCAGCCCTGGATTATCCCGGCTTTACCCCGGATCACAGTGGGAACCTGGATTACCCCCGGACTACCCCCGCGCCGTTGAATGACCCCGGATTTACCCAAGGCTGATAATGACGCTGCGGGTGGGGTACATTCAAAACGTAATAGGTCAAACGGCGAGAAGTCGCTCACCCCCGAGGAGTTTGTCATGCACAAAAACGACGGCGTATTTGTTTTTCGAGAGTAGTCTGCGAGGGCGTCTCAAATGGCGTAACTAGTAAAGTGACGATTCCTGTTAGTGATAACACGTGATGTCAAACCTGAACTATCTATGATCTAAAGTCCAGATCGTCATATTTATGTCTCAGGGAAAGGGGGAGCGGAGGGGGGGGGGGGTAGGACGTAATCGTTCTTGTTATCTGTAGCTTACCTATTGGGCTTTCGTGGTCCGACCTGAAAAAATACAAATACGACTTCATTAAGACTTGATCTACAAGGGCCTAAAAACGGTGTCAATATTATCTAGTCAGTATGAATCCGTAGAATATACGATATTGCAAAACATACAGGTCTGTAAACGTAGGGATTCATATCTTCATCCCAGAGAGAAATTTTTTCCGACGACATCGTTTCAACATTGTTTTTCACGTTGTTACGACATAAAAGTGGGCCTGAAATCGACGGTCGATGTCGTTTCGACGTTAACTGTCGACAATCCGTCGATTGCAGGCCCACTTTTATGTCGTAAATGGCGTGAAAAACGATGTCAAAACGATGCCGTGGGAAAAATTTCTCCCTGGAATATGCCACTCATACAACAACTTAAAACAAACAATGACTCTTTCAGTAAGCGATTATTTTCAAGAAAACAACACTTTTCTTTTGCTACGCACCCGAAAACCTTGTTACTAGTGATGAAATTAGTTAAAATGTAATCTTCAGTTGGTTAGAGGCCGACGCACCGGCTCTTACGCGTATCTTGAAGCACGCCAACACCGTCCGAACTACTATTTCCCTATAATTAACACTTAAATATCTATCCTACAGCCCCGCTTGTCTTTCAAACGTCTTCTCCTCGCTCTTCTGATTAAAAGGAAACCAAACTCGACTCAAATAGACGCAGAATAACGTTGTTTAGGCTGATGCACGTGCTATGCAGTGCTACGGAGCGCGAGTGAGCAGCCGACCTCCGGAAGCAGCTCAATGTTTGTTGTGGTCCGCGGCGGCCATCTTGGAACTTCTTGTTGTTGTTCTAACCGCTAAAAGCACTCATTCACGTGTGCAACTGCACGTTGAACATTATGTGCAAATGTTCAACGTATGGTTCTTTATGGTCATTCACGAGCGAGGGGTGGACCATATTCCATGTACACACTGAAAAATATTCCAAAAGTATTCCAGATATTCCATGTACACCAAAGAATCAGAGTGGTCTACCCTTCGCTCGCGGGTGCTCCACACCTTTGTGGTGTCTAACTCCTCCTCCTGGTCCCGCAGCCAGCTCGCTCGTCCTCGCCGTGCCGCTGGGCTCCATGCTCGGCCTGCTCCTGAACGACGTCCTGGGCCGGCTCACCCTCATCAAGATCATCGCGCTGCCCCAGGTGCTCGGGTGGGTGCTCGTCGCGACGGCCGGGTCGCTGGCGCAGATCGTCGGCGCCCGCTTCATCCTCGGCACGGCGCTCGGCATGTCGCACAGCTTCACGACGCTGTACATCTCCGAGGTCGCCGACAAGGACATCCGCGGCGGCCTCGGGGCCCTGGGCACTGCGCTGGCGTCCCTGGGTGAGCAGCCGACCGAGGGTGAAGGGAGAGAAGGCAAAGGCGCCCGCAGGACGACATGTAGTGGAGGTCTCTGCCTCAGGCATCCTGCTGTGCTACACCATGGGCGCCTTCCTGGACTGGCGGACGCACGCGTGGGCCAACTGCTGCCTGCCCGTGCTGCCGCTGGCGCTGCTCTTCACCCTCGCCACCGAGAGCCCCGTGTGGCTGAGGGAGCGCGGCCGCGACGAGGAGGCGGCCAGGGCGTCGACCTTCTTCTACGACGACCCGACCAAGGTGAGCGAACGCTTCCGCGGAGCCCGCACGGCGCGTGCTGCGGCCAACACGTGCTCATCGCGTAAGGCTGTGCGATATCCAGATTTTGATATTATCGACCAAGAATAGAGCATCGACTCGATACATCGAGTCTCGGTAATCGAATGATATCGCAATATCGAAGCATATCGGAAAACGATATTTCTGAAAATTGCCGATTTACCGCAGTTTATCGTAATATCGAGCATCTATCGATATTTCGATGTCGAAACTGGAAGAATATCGAGCCGTCGTCATCGGGCAATATCGCATCGATATATCGAAATATCGTGTTATTGCACAGCGTCCCTGTCGCAGGTGCTGTCCGTGGCCAAGGCCGGCGCCGACAAGAAGAAGGCTAAGGCGATGGGCGCCCGCACCTGGCGCGCGCTCTTCACGGAGCCGCGGGGCTACAAGCCCTTCGTCCTCATCCAGGCCGTCTTCATCATCCAGCAGCTCGTCGGCATCTACATCACCATCTACTACGCCGTGCCGCTCTTCATGGAGACGGGCTGCACCCTCGACCCCTACCTGGCCTCCATCCTGATCGGCGTGGTCCGCCTGGTCGGCTGCACCTCCGTGTCGTGGGCCATGAGGCGCCTGGGCCGGCGGCCCCTCATGCTCGCGTCCTCGGCGGGGCAGGCCGTCGCCATGGCCACCTCGGGCTACGCCACGGCGCGCATCCTCCAGGGTCAGTGTCCTATGGCCGTGCCGGACTCTCGCCGTGTAGAGAGTCAAGGTCGCACACTTGTACGAGGGTAGAGTGTCGCACACATGAACGTGTATGAAGGTTACACACTTGTGTGTGATTGTCGTACACTTGTAGATGTGTGAAGGTCACACACCTGTAGGTGTGTGAATGTCGTACACGTGTTGGTGTAAATGAAGGTCGCACACTTGAAGGTGTGTATGCCCGTTCATACACCCAAAGGAGTGATTGTGTGAATTTTCCTCTGAAATTCACACACATGTGCCTCCATGTGTACGAATTCACACACCTACCTACAAGCGTGCGACATTCACTCGTTTGGTTTTCAACGTCATTGTCACAAGGTCTTTCTCATTTTTCAATTTCGTTATTTTGTTTAAATGTCTTTTTAACGTTGTTCCAATGTGGATTTACGGGTCACGCTTCGCGCTTGGTTTGCAGAGATTATTGATTGTACCCCGTGTAACGTTATCAGCCGACCTTGCTCGGACGCGGCTACCTCTATGGGCCCCAGGCCCTCAAGGACGCCGCGGCGCTGCGCGCGCTCGCGTCGCGCATGCGCCACCCGAGCGCCCGCCCTC